GAGTGGAGAAGAAGAAGGAAGTGATTGATGGAGGAATCGAGAGAATTATTGATGTCGACGTTGATTGAATCAGGGGTTTTGATTCCTGGAGATTTCTCATCGATTGGTGAATTCACTTCGGAGGCTTTAGTATCGATCTGTGCTCAGTTGCTTAATCTCATTGACCCATCAAAGTTTTCGTTTTCTGATGAATTAGCTGATTCTCTTCCCGAAAGGTTTAAGATTTGCAACGATATTGCTCTTTCTGTGAAGAATCTAGGCTACATCGGCGACATGAGTTATTATAAGGTACTATTCCTAATCCCTCTTTAGATCGCAATAATAACCCTTAGGCTATAAAGGAAACAACTTTATGCTTTTACAGTAGATCACAAGAAATTGATTGCAAGAGAGTTTGTAATTTTAGTGGATGGTTTTGGAGGGCTGTGTGTAGTCCTTGAAGTTTACTTTCTGGTTATGGCTCTGTGTGTGTGGCTTTTCTTATTTGTGTGAAATTATGATGCTGAAACAGATTGTATGTGTTGCTTGCGGCAGTTTCTGCATCCATCTGAAGATGATTCGTATAGGTTGGTTAGATTTTTAGTCGAGAGGCTTTCGGAGACAAATGAGAGGATAAAAGCTTCTCCGGCAAGTGATGTAGCTAGCAGGCCAAAAGTGGAGACAAATGTCAGAGATAATTCAGAAGACATGATTGTGAAGGAGGACAATGATGAGACTTTTGATATGCATATTCAGAAAGTTGAAGCTGTTCTAAAAGATCTTACAATGACTACTGAATTCTCTCATCCACCGGACTCTCCTGTGAAAATTACCTCAACAAATGGTTCTACCATTGTTGACATCTTGTCCCTGAAGACAGATGAATCTGTTACTGATCAACCATCAGATCTTTCATTGAGACAGTCATCTGGATGTGACGAAAATTCTTCCGAAGACCCGTCTGAGGTACTGTTTATTGTGTGACCTTATCTCCTTTTCTGTACTTGGGTATATGGTTTAGCATTTACTAGGAATGTCAATATGAATGTTGAAGGCTTAACCTTATCATTTTTATACTTTGTAGAAAAATTATGAGACTGTTGAGTTACAGAATCAACATAACTTACTCTTGGCGGAGCTAGAATCTGGATCTTCAGAGCTATGCAGCCTTGACAGTGAGCTAGAGTTGTTGAAGCTGGCTGCGGAGAGGTTATTGGATGATAAACAGCCGGGTGGGTCATATCTCGAACAGCTTAATCAACAATTAGCGGTCAAAAGGTGTAATATCATGGATCTTAAAAAGCAACGGTATGAACAATACCTGTTTATATAAAATAGATATAGACATCAGGGGAGGATTATGTAGAGCATGATTACGTATTATTATCATGTCTTCCTTCAGGGACGATGTAAGGCTGACTTTGGAAACTAAAAAGCTACGTCTGTTGGACCAACTTCATGTAGAGGAGCCACAGGCTAAAGAGAAATTCCATAAATTGAGAAAGACTGAATTGGATTTACAATCTCTCTCATCAGAAATACAAAAGAGGTAACCAGAGAACTCCTACTTTCACTGTCTGTGATTTTGGCTTTGTGCTTTAGATTGCTACTTTATCTTGTTTTCTTTTGGCAATAAGAGATATATACTTCTTAAGTTCTTTTGTGTTATGGGCGTTGGTGTTGAAAGTATAACTAACTTCGCCTGTCACCTCAATCACGTTATTCCATTGACTCTCGTATCATATTAATGTGTTTATTTCTTTTCCCTACAGGGAATATGAACTGTGTAATCGATACGCTGAAGTTGAGAGGCAGCCAAAAGCAGCGCCTCGGAAATCTCATATTCATGGGATTAAAGAAATAACAAAAAATAGTCGTAAACTGGACACTGATATTCAAAGGATTTCAGGGGAGACTAGGGAGCTACAATTAGAGAGTAACTCAATCCGAGAACGCCTGCACCGATCATATGCTGTTGTGGATGAAATGGTTACAAGGTATGAGCTTTTCTGTCTGTCATGTTTGCATTGTCTGGTTAAATATACACCAAAATAAAATCTATCATGTTGGCCGGCTTAAGAGAAAATGTATATGCTGTTATGATGTGCTGATGAGAACGGCTTCTCTTTTCCGAGCAGGGAAGTTAAAAAGGACCCAGCTGTACGACAGGTCTACAAGCTGCTGACTAGTATCCACAGTATTTTCGAGCAAATCTCTGAAAAAATCCTCTTGACTGATCGGTTAAGAAGAGAAGCACTGGACTATGAGAAGAAACTGAGGTCCATCACAGCTCGAGGCATGAGTCTGGAAAAATTACAAGCCGATCTCAATGCCATCAGAAAAGAGAACAACAGTTTAGAAAAGTAACTAATTCAATTGAGAACGGATGTCTAAAAGGTTCATACATTTTGTAGAGTTCTTGTTCTTGAGGTCCTCAAAGAATCATTTGTTAATGTGCTTTAAAGTTTTGAAGCAGTGTTTGTTTATAGGAATGAAGAATCTTTTTCACTACTAACTAAAGAAATGCAAAAAACTGATTTTCAGCTAAAGTCATATCTGATATATGTTTGTAAAATCTAAGGAATACAGACAAAAGAGACATTAATATTGAGAGGCAACATCAACATCACAAAACTATTCCATAGAGATCTTCTTCCCAAGCATTCTTTTTATGTATTGTCTTGGATGGTTTCACAACAAAAAATAAGGCAAAATGCTACTTTGAAGCACATCTTCTTCCCTCTTGTAATTTCCAACCTAAATTTCTCTGGGGATGATGTTTCCTAAGTATTTACACCCAAAAATCCAGACTTTTAGCACCTCTTTTACGCTTTGATGTCTACCTTTATAGCTGCTTCATCTTGGCCTAATAGTTGTTGACCCAATTCGTTAGGGCAGCTTGAGGTTGCTGATTAGGTTGCTGATAAGCAATGTGTGGGTTTCCTATGGGTTCAGTCATAGCCGTTGTGGTGTGTGGCGGTGGCGGTAAGGTCTGATATGTAGTTGAAGCAGCAGCCATGGGCTGTGTTGGTTGGTGTATTCCCATGAGCCCACCATGACCAGTATGCAAGTATGGGAAACCAAGTGGCTGACCTTGCAGGGCTAGGTTGTACATTGGATTCACCTGCAGGTTGCCAAGTCCCTGCACTATCCACGCAGCTGCACTTTCAGTCTGCAACAATAAAATCAAGCGTACCACTGTTAATCATATATATAGTCTATAATCTACAACAATATCAATGCAAGGATAGAGCAGGAAAGAAACTTACCAGTGGTGAAGTATTTTCTGATACGGTTGCAGATGGGATGTGAGTAGCGTCTGTGGAAGAAGCATGTGGGGATGGATTTGTGGTGGGAGAGTTCTCAGTGTCGCCTACTGGATTTATATGGGTAGGTGCAGCTAGAGCAGCTGCTGGTGGAAAATAAGACTGTTGAGGGATTCCGTTTGGGCTCAAGTACTGGTGAATGTATGGTGGTGGCATAAAAAACGGTGGGTAATAAGGACCGTAAGGAAAGAAACTGGGATGGTATTGTTGCCTAAAAAGATGAGACGCTGCTGCAATGGAGCGCTGATCTGGAGGATATGATGCTGATGATATAGCTAGAGCATTGGAATTTCCAGGCTGCAATTTGAGGAAGCAGTTGTCAGAATGTCAAACAGATAAAAGGATAATTTTTTAATGCGTATGTTGTGACAAGATATACCACATGCCTGAGTCTCTGCTGATTCCGTGTTTAAGGGTTGGCCTAATGCTGACAACGAGGGGACAAGACCAAACACACTGAATGGAGCTTCTTGACCATAAGAAATTTGATGAGTTTGTGTGTTCGGTAAAGCTTCCTCCCTCGGTTCATTTCCTACAGGTGGGACAACGTGATCCGAGTGCAGCACAAGCTCAGATCCAGGTGCTAAGTTTGAAATCCCATGATCGTTATCTTCAAAAAAAGATGATGCTCCTTCTCTGTAAAGGAAGTTATGGTAATGAGATGAACACATGAAAATTGAAAGTTAAAAGGAAAAGCCATCAAAAACAGAATATACACGGGCTATATCACAAGCAAAAACCTTCACAATTGCAAAAATTGAACTTGAAAATCATATCGAAATAGTCTCACTCAACTGAGACTGGGAAAAGTGTGTTGGGATAAAGATCGCAGTAGATCAATAACTAAAAGTAGAGAATATGTAGAATCAAAGTATCTCAGTCACCAACCTAGGAATACCATTGGTAGTGAGATAAGAATTTCCCTCATCATCTCTTGTCACATGAGAAGCCTCAAAATTTGAGTCATCACCGCCACTGGCACCATTGTTAGAGGATGCCTCTTTCACAATATTAGAATCAAAACTGCCAAACGTCAGACCATTTTGAAGTACTTCAGCAACCTGAAGGTGGAACGGAAATGTTACATGCGACCGTTCGCCAACATTTGACTTGTGAAGCGATTGAGCTTTGACTTTACTGGATGCAGTCTCATTTCTGGTGACGACTGTACATAAAGAAACCAGAGGCTGAATCAAATAAGACCATACTTGCTAGACCATTATTAACTTAACGAAATAACCAGAGAATGAAACTTCAAGGCAAACTAAAAAATTCTAAATAAAAGGCAGATATACCTTGATCTGACTGGCCACTGCAATGAGAAGCAGAAATCAAAGAAGGATCATATTGACCAAGTGCAGATGATTGCAACTCTGTTGGCTGGTTGTTCGCAACAGGCTGTGAGATTTGAGCAGAAGTTACATCTTGTACTATATGGTTTTGTACAACAGAAACTGATACAGGTACAGCAACTGGTTCTGAAATTGCTTTACACGTCTCTGGCTCAACACAATCCTCGGAGAAAGAAGCAGACTTAGAAAGATGATTTTTCTCTGCAAGTTCCTTGTTCACAGTAGCAGTGCAATCATCTTGAACTTTATGATTGCTTACCCCACTCGGAAGATTGGGAGGACCAGAGACCCTGCAAAAGGTATCCTTTAATCTTTAACAACTTTATAGGACAAAAACATCAAAAGCATCCATATCTAAACATAATCATAGAGACACAGAGGGATGGTATGTTAAATTACTTTACTGCACGAGATACTGCGAGGTTTCTTGCTTTGTTAATGGCAGGTGGGGGAGTTCTAGAACCTCTTGCCACATGATTGCCTCCACTCTCCCTTTTAAAAGATGCACTTCTTCCGTTACCTGCATCTGAATGTCAGCAAATAGCTTAAAGCAAGGAAGAGAACTACAATTGTCATTTCAAATGTAGCAATAAAAGAAAACAAACTACCTTGATAAGAGTTCCTCTGTCCACTTCTACCACTTCCTTGGTTAGTTGGCACTACACTCTGCAACAGAGAATAGACAGTAATCATATGAGATAACGAAAGCTATAAGAGCAAATGATGCACAATGGTATAAGGATTGCCAAGTGAATCCACAAGTCATACACTTTTTGAATCTAGAAACATAACTGCAAAGACACAAAACTGCATATAATGGATTCATTACAAAAAGAAAAGAAAAAAAGAACACTTGCCTCCTTCTTTTTGTCCCTTTTACTTTTCACCTCATGAAATGTATCTGCATTATCAAAAAGAATGACAGTGTACAATGAGATAGACCACCACGAACAAAAGTGCCACAGAAACTAAACAAAGTACAATTCAACAACTTTCATGAGTACAGTGAGAGGACAATTTTGAAAGACGATGCTGCATTGTTGTTATACGCAACCCAAAATCTAAATGTCTCTGATAGTTCTAAGTACCTAGCAGCTAAATGGTAAGGATCCTGCCAGTAACTATGAAGACTTTAGACACAAAATCTGCAAATTACACACCAGGAAACAAAGAAGATTCCACAGTTGAACAATTACAGGACCCAAATACAAACTCATAACACTTGCGAACAGAAACTAAATCAATAAACCCAAATCGATGAAGGCAGGCAGAAACTAAATCAACAAACACTATCGTACAAGCCCAAATCGATGAAAATGCAAAGAAATACCAAAATCAGAACACTTGCGAACCATAAGAACATCACATGAAATTCCAGAACAGAGACTAAATCAACAAAGCCCTATCGCACAGAGACCCAAATCGACGAAGGGAATTGAAAATGCAAACAAATACCAAACCCAGTAATCGCACTCCATTAAAACCCTAAACGA